CGGGGTGAGCAGATGAAGAGAGAAATATATTCCACTATTACCGAGAGCAAAAAGCATATTTTGGAAAACCTGAGTTTAAAAGTTAAACCTGATTTTTCAAGGTTATTTTTTCAGTTTTTATTTGTCAGACTTAATTTTCTCAAATAAGTTTTTCTTTTTTTCTGTAGCAACATTTCTGTCGGCCTGTAGAAGTGTAGAGGGTGAAATCTGTAAAGTTTCGTTCTGTCTCCTGATCACAGATCTCCCAAAGTAAAGGAAATAGGACTGATCAATTAGACTCCCGAAAAAATTGGGGAAAAAACACCAAAACTTTAACACAAATCTGGAAAAATATTTAACAACATCTATGCAAATAAAATCTAAAAAGAAAAACCAGAAAACTCTAGAAACATAGTTTGAACTTTTTCCATAAATCACTCTAAAACCTTTTTTAATTGGGATTTTTTCTATAAGCTGTTCTTCGCTGTCAATAATAATGGACCGAATTTCTCTCCATACAGGGACTTACAGCTAAAAATTCAGCTCTTATAACAGAGGATAATTTTTCCACTTTTTCTCTCCTCTGTTTTCTCATGTTGCCTTTTTATCCTCAATTTTTAAAAGATGCTTAAAGAAATAAATTAAAAGTTTATCTAATCCAAAAAAAATTTACCAGTTAATGAAGAAAGAGACGAGAAAAGAAAATCCACAATTTTCCATTTCGTTTTTTTTCTCAGCATCGCACTAAAATCCAACTTTTAAATCTTTCAAAAACGTTTCCATGCTGGTTCCACCTCTGCCTTCAACAGACAGGATGTTTTTACTGCAAAGTGACGAAACAAACCTTCAGGTTTTTGTTCAAAGATTAAGGGAAAATTGAACAAATGTTTGGTTTTAAATCCCAGCAACCTGCTTTAATGCTATTGTTGGAAACCATTCTTCACCTGGAGTCTAAAAGGGTTCAGATCCACACTGAAGAAAATCAGTTCCTCCAAAATGGCTCTGGCAGTAGAAGAAAGATTTATGTTGAGACTAGAAGCAGAGCTTTTTAGAAGTTAGTGATGTAATCATTTACCAGACTTATTGCTGCGTTAGAAATGATCAGTAACTTGATCCAGACCCAGAATCTGCTACAAATATTAACATTGACTCCTGAAGAGCAACAAAGGCTAAATGATGATCGACGCTGTTTTATTTTCTTGTTAAAAATAAAAAAAAATCAATAAAATAATGTAGAAAAAAAAGAATAATAATGTTTCAATTTAAATCTAAGAGTTTGACAGTAGAATAAAAAATAGACTAAAATAGATTTTAATGAAACGCACTGGGAAAAAAATCATTTTTTCTTCAAATAAGTGCATTTGTTCTTGAATTGAGGAGAAAAAAAGAGACATTTTGCCAATCGAACAAGACAATTTAGATTTAGAATAAGAAAACAATATTATTGTCTTATTTCAAGTGCATATTATTGAATTATCTTTCATTCCATTGGCAAACTATCTCATTAACCTGCTCAATTTAAGGGTAAATACAATTAAGAAATGTTTACTCATTTACTTATTTTTCCAGTGCAGGCTGAGTTAAACGGAACTGCTCCAGCTGCTGCGCCTTAGTTAACCCAGGATCAGGTTCTGGTCCGGCGGTTCTGACCGTGTTCTCCTCTCTGTGTCCAGTATTTCTCCTACATGCAGCCCAGATGGATGTCTGAGGTCTTGGCTGCCGTCTCTCCTGTAGTCGGACTAGAAGACGGTACGATCAGGAAAACTTCTCCTTTTGGTTCTGATACACAACGCTGTCCAAGGTTCTGATCCCGCCCTCGTTTGACGGACAGCAGCAAAGATCTAAGGAAAAGTAGCTTCTGATCTGAAACCAGGAAGCTTCCGGATAGTTGGGATTATTGGAAGAAAGGACTGGATCAGAACCTCTAAGCTGGGACAGTAATCAGATTATCATCACCTGATGCCTGCTGCTCTAACTAATGCAGCTGTTGTGTTTTGACAGATCTGATTGGTCAGCCCAGGCAGCGTGGGCGGGGCAGGAGAAGAAACGTGGTACCACCCTTTACAGAGGAGCCTCAGGGGAACGACTATGAGGTGAGAAACGATCAGGAGATTCTCTGATGTTCAAAGCTCAGACTGGAGAAGCTTCTGGAAGCAGCTGTTCACAGAACCTTAGATCCATGGGCTCACAGTGCTGTCGTCTCCGTTCCTTCAGGCTCTTCTGGCGTTCGAAGAACGACAAGGTGCCGTCGTGTCAAAGAAACTGACCCGCAGGGAAATCCAGAGGTTTCCGACCAAAACTTTCCGCTCTGCCACCAACTCAGGAGAGACCCAGTGAGTCCGGCCTCCTTTGTGGTCCGAACCGAACCGTGGAGCCCAGTTAACCCGCCTGTCTGACTCCTCCGCAGGTGTCAGATATGTTTCTGTGACTACGGCGACGGGGAGAAGCTGAGGATTCTGCCCTGCTTCCATTACTACCACGTCCACTGCATCGACAGGTGGTTGAAGGTACGAGCAGAGAAAACCTGGACCGACTCCTGGTCCTCCGGTACCACCGCCCTGCATCCCTGCCACACATATAACTTTAAACCAAATAAACACCCCATGGCTGCTGTGGAGGAAAATGGTTCGCCTTGGGTGGGTGAAGCCTGCAGGGCAGTGGGACCTGAGGACCAGGATGCAGAACCTCTGCCTGGCAGCATCAAGCTGTGTTCTAACTGTGATCCATCCAAGAGGATTGTTTGTTTTCCAGTTAAAATGTCCAAATGTGATCCATTAAAACTCCAGAATGTTCTCCTGGAAATGATGCTTCATTGGACGACTGGTTTCCATCTGCTGGAGCCCGACGGCTTTTCATTGAATCGCCTCCGACACATCAGACACCTAATCTGACTTGATTCTGGTTTGACCAACGGGCCTTATGGGTTCCGCTAATCAGCAGACCGTGCAGTCGAGCTCAGAGTAACTGTGGAGGAAATGGCTCCATAGTTTATTGGTAGAAAGCAGGAAACTGCAGTAAAGTAAAAGGAAAATATTGGTCCCATCAATAAAACCAGGGAGCAGGATGACGGCTGGTTTTATTAAATAAAAGGAATAAAATGCTATTTTTTTTCCATCAAACACATTATTTCAGAAGATATATACGGTAGAGGATTAGGGCCAGTAAAAAAATAAAGTTAACTGATTTTTTAAATTTTATTTCAGTTTAATATGGGGAAAAAAGTCTGAATTCTGAGAAGAAATTCAGAATTTTGAGATTAAAGTCAGAATTCTGACTTTTCTCCCATATTAAACTGAAATGATATCTAAAAATCTGTTATCTTTTTCTAAAAATCAGTTATCCGCACACATCAAATGTCGGTTTGATGTGTGCGGTTTTAGAAGTCTAATCTGCCCTAAAGCCAGACTTATAAACTAGACCAGTGTTTAAGGGGCAGCTATATGATTGGTTTACAGTTTAAAGGGTAAGAAGAAGACAGGCGGTAAGCGGAGGTTTCCATCTGAAACATGGATCACATCTAACTGGATGCATCGCTGCTCCCACTTAACCGCACTGATCTGGTTATGAAGGACGAACCCATCAACCTTTACTGATAAATTACTTTAAAATCAGACTGAGTTATCTGACTGTGAGAAATATGCTGATGAAGATTCTCATTCATCCAGGTCAAAGTCATTCCAAAGAAGTTAAAAACAATCCACTGGACTTGGTTTCCAAGTTGGAAGACGTTTGGCTTCCCATCCAGGAAGATTTTTCAATTCAGAATGTCATAATAAGCGTTGAGTTTGAGATTTATACAGTAGCCCATCAAAACCTTGTTTTTGTTTTAAAAATATGCTAATTGAACCGGGTCAAAGTTCACTGTCGGATCACCGCATAGGTCACCTGGACACGTGAGCAGCTGCTGCTGTACCCCCTTCGTCAGTTTTAATTAGAATGTTTTCAAAACAAAAACAAGGCTTAATGTTGTGCTACTGTATAAATCCTCGAACTCAACGCTATTCCTGACATTTTAGATTAAAAAAGCTTCCTGGATGGGAAGCGAAACGTCTTCAAACTTGGAAACAAAGTCCAGTGGATTGTTTACAATTTTCTTTATTTGGAATGACTGCAGAGGTGTCAAATAAAGTACAAATACTTTGTTCCTGTACTTAAGTACGTTTTTTAGGCATCTATGCTTTCCTCCATTACTTATTTTTCCTTCTACTTCTGACTTCTACTCATTACATTTTCACACAAGTATTTGTACTTTCTGTTCCTTACATTTTTAAAACAAACGTTTCTCGTTATTCTTGGCTTCGGTTTAATGTTTATAAATATTTATTTCACGTCATGTGCGCCATCCAATGCAGATCATTGGCTCCATCCATCCTAGTGGAAACTAGTGTGATTGGATGAGTCATAGAACGCAAACACTCATTGGTTAGCTAAAGGAAATCATCAGAAGCAAGCAGGTGTTCTTCAAACTGCCAATGTTAATTGTCTATGCCATGCTACAATGTTGGATTCAGAAAAAGATGTTGAAATGTCTGAAAGGTCGGACACAGGCGAGAGCGTATCGGGAGATGGAGACCAACAAGACCTCCCTCATCCTTGGCCCTATCTCAAAGAATTTTTTTAAATAGTCGAAAAATTGAGCTTTCAATTCATAAAGTGGCATCTGGCTGTTTTTTTTTTAAAAAGTTTACTTTATATTTTTATACTTTAAGTAGTTTTTGGAGCACATACTTTTTCATTTTTACTTGAGTAAAGAGGTCAAGTTGATACTTCAACTTTTATCAGAGTGTTTTTAAACTGCAGTATCTATACTTCTAAAGTAACATGTGTGTACTTTTGACACCATTGAATGACTGAGTAGATCTCTGCCCTGTCCAGTTTTAACCCGCTTCCTCCTCCTCCCTCTGACAGGACAACACCACCTGTCCCATCTGCAGGGCCAACCTGGCTGACGGAGACTGCCTGGTGCCGCCTACATCCTAACAGGGAACTCTTGGATGTCTTAGAAAGAATTACTGATTAAGTTGTTTTGGACGTTTTTATTTCTTCCATGTTTGATGCTGAAGCTCCTGCTGTTTGTTCCGTTTTTTGTTTTTTACAACAAATAAAATGTTTCATTTTCTTGGGTTCGAGTCTCTCCAGAGCGTTTTTACTCCTCGTAGTAACGCTTCTTCATCGCTCTGTACTTCCTCAGGTAGTAGAGCGCCTCCAGCTCCCGCACCACGTACTCCCCCCTGGCGATCATGGCCTTGATCTGCTCCGGGTCCTCCACAGACTTGTTCTTGGTGAACGCCGCTCTAAGCCGGTCCCTGAAGTAATCACCACCTTTGGGGTATTCCCGGCCGAGGTAGAGGAGCTGTGGAGGAGGGAGAGGATGAATGCTGGATCAGATTTAAAGGAATTGTACACCCAAAACATGATTAGCCTTCATTTTCTACTCACCCCCATGCTGAACAACACTCTGGAGTACTTTTTTGATATCTCAAATGCATCTGGAGATCTGGGAGGCTTCTTGCTGTCTGCTGACATTCAAATAATGGAGGTCTATGGCGCCCGAGACAGAAAGGTCCATAAAAGTCCACAAAAAACGTGTCAATATTCCTCCATACTGCTCGTCCAATGTATTCCAAGTGTCCTGAGTGGGTAGCGTCCAGAATTTACTCGAAACGAAGTCATTTAGAATGTTTTTAGAGCATAAACAGTAGTGTATAGGATTTCCTGAAAGCGCATTTACGAGTCTACGGAAACCGCGGCAGACCAAACCAGATGAAAGTGCGCATTCAGCTCGGCAAAGAACTCATGCTCTTCCTCAACACTGAAGTCCTCAGACATTTTTCTTTCGTTGTTTCTTTCTTTGCACAGGTAAACAGCACATTTCTTCTTCTACGCTTGCATTATCGGCAGAGCAGACGCTGAATGCGCACTTTCATCTGGTTTGGTCTGCCGGCTTCCGTAGCGTCCTGAACGGGCTGGCGCGCGCTTTGAGGAAATCCTATACACTACTGTTTATGCTCTAAAAACATTCTAAATGACTTCGTTTCGAGTAACTTCTGGATGCTACCCACTCAGGACACTTGGAATACATTGGACGAGCAGTATGGAGGAATATTGACACGTTTTTTGTGGACTTTTATGGACCTTTCTGCCTCGGGCGCCATAGACCTCCATTATTTGAATGTCAGCAGACAGCAAGAAGCCTCCCAGATCTCCAGATGCATTTGAGATATCAAAAAAGTACTCCAGGGTGTTGTTCAGCATGGGGGTGAGTAGAAAATGAAGGCTAATCATGTTTTGGGTGTACTATTCCTTTAAGCTTAGATCATCCCATGACTGATTATTTTTAATCTCAGGTTTATTTTAACAGTCCAGATTTTTAGTTGTTTGCTTTTGGATCCTGGAGTCAGTAAGAACCGCCGCCCTCAGCTCTGACTGACCCTCAGCTCCCTCATGTCAGAAACTACGACCCTAAAGTCAAATGAAAAGGGAATTCTGGTCTCCAGGAAGCTGTTAGATGTTCTGGTTCCTCACATCTGTGACGTCATTGATAATCTATCAACTGATTGGTTGATTAGGAGCAACTGAAGACTCACGTTCTTGTAGAGTCGAACCACCTCAGCCCTCAGAGGGTTCGCCATCATCTAATCAGCTGCAAAACAAAACAGCAATCTCAGTGACGTCAGATCAGCTCCTGCTCTGCATGAAACAACCGGAAGTTCATTGAAATCTGAAGCACCTGAATATGAAAGAAAATAAACCCAAGCTGGAATAAAAAGTTTGATTTCCTACGTCACTGCAGTCTGAGCAGCAAACCTGATCCGGACAGCAGCCCAGAGAGGATCCGGTTGATCAAATGATACCAAACATTTTACACGAACCCAATCTTTCCTCAGACAGAACAGCAGAACCACAGCCAGCTGTCTGTCCGCGTAAAGCAGCAGCTGCTCACCTGTCCTCTGCGGTGATCCGACTGTGAACTTTGACCCGGTTCTACCACCAAAATGTTCCGGTTCGACCTAGAAAAAAACAAAAACCAGACTGAATCAAAGTTCAAAGTGTGAGTCAGAACTTTGAGAACCAGTGGAGTCAGCAGCTCAGATTATGTAAACAACCAAAGAGTCGAGAAAATCAAGATGGTGATACAGAAAAAAAAACTGACACGGAAAAAAAAAAAAATCTGAGAATCAAAGAGTCGCGCGAGTAAAGAAGTGACCCCTCCCCAACACGGAGTCTAACTTCAATGCGATCAAACTGCCTAACCCCCAGATTCCACATACTCCGTCAGCGCTCCGCTCCGCCCCGCTGACGTACGTCGTGCGGAGCGCTTGTCTTTCATGGAAATCAATGAGAACTGTTCCACATCCACCGCTACTCCTCCGCACGTCTCCGTCCAAGTACGTCTTCTCCGTCCGTCACCGACAAATTACGGAGCCGAGCTATTTTTTGCTCCGCTCCGGTCCGGCCAGGTCAAGATCCGCAATTGCAATCGCACCAAACAGGAAAAAGAACCTCAACAAATTCCGGTTGGTCAAATTAAAATATAGTAGCAACAGATCGGTGACTAGAAATTATAGCACAATTCTTATAAATATCTAAAAAAAAAAAAAAAACTAACACCGTTTATTTAAATGATTGGATCCAAACTATTGGTTATTCACCAACCAGGAAGCAGATTTCTCATCTCCATTAAAATATTTATTTTATACCGAGGGACTTAAACTTTAATCAAATCCATTCAAAAGAAACTTCTTATTACAGGAATGAAAAGAGATGCTGAGTTGTAGAGAACAAGTTCATTAAAAAAAGCAGTTTTGAATTATCCTTATCTCTGTTACAAAAATCTACAAATATATATATATTTGGGCAGAAACTGAACATATGCTGGATGATGGTGGGATTTTTTTAATATGCCATATTAAATTAAGCGCTCACAGGGTTCATACAGGAATGAGATACTCTAATTTAATGATATTTTAATGCTATTAGAAATTATTTTAATGCCATTAACAAGAACCATGTACACAAGTTATTAGTGTAGCCTACATGAAATATGGAGCTGTAAGCACAGTTCCAAGACTCCTGTATGTATGTAAACACACACACACACACATATATACGTATATATATTCTCTAGCTTTTTCTCCGCCTCGAGCTTCCTTTCCGAACATACGGCTTTATAAACAGTTCCACGCAAATTAATAGCGATAAAATATATCTGACGAAATTGTTTTTAGAAGCATTTTTATTAAAGAATCATAAATGCAACGATAAACATATTTAATTAATTTTAGTGCCAATTAAGGGCTTGATTAAAAAAAGAATTATGAATTGTAATTATTTTTAATGATCCGCTGAAACCCTGGTTCATCTGGCGCATGCCCTCTACGATCTACAAGGAACTCAGAGCGGAGGGGACGGGAGCCACAGCGGCGGCTGTAGGCTTTGCTTTGTGCAGGCGGTCTGGAGCGCAACGGGGCGGAGCGGAGCGGAGCGCAGACGGAGTATGTGGGATTTCGGGGTAAGTCAAGATGTTAATCCTCCCAAAACGAGCTCCGACCGTCAAAAATAGATAAACCTACAAAGAGTCACTAAACGACCAACGGTTGGAGGTTTTTAGGTTTATCCTCCACAGACTGAAGCAGTCTCGCCTTACAGGATGCTGAGGATCATCACTAGACTGAATGAAATGACTAAACCCAGATCGCCATCCAAGAACCACCAACAATCAAGAAACCTGGAGGTCAAGATGATAATCTCCCAAAATGACCAAAACCACTCAGATCAGTGTCAGCAGGTCAAAATGTTGAGTTTAGTAGCAGAAAGGAACAAACCGAATTAAATAAGAAAAAGAGACTGAACAGTAGAGCCAAATGTACCCTTCAAAAGAAGCACATGATAAAAAAAATAAAAAAAAAGAATACTTACATCACATTAAACCGTGTTTTGGAAAAGTAAATGAATAACTGTATTTCGAAAGTCCAATGAAATTATGTATAAATGTACGTATACATATATGTGTGTGTGTATATATATATATATATATATATATACTCATACTCACCGGCCACTTTATTAGGTACCCCATGCTAGTAACGGGTTGGACCCCCTTTTGCCTTCAGAACTGCCTCAATTCTTGGTGGCATAGATTCAACAAGGTGCTGTAAGCATTCCTCAGGGAGTTTGGTCCATATTGACATGATGGCATCACACAGTTGCCGCAGATTTGTCGGCTGCACATCCATGATGCGAATCTCCCGTTCCACCACATCCCAAAGATGCTCTATTGGATTGAGATCTGGTGACTGTGGAGGCCATTTGAGTACAGTGAACTCATTGTCATGTTCAAGAAACAGGTCTGAGATGATTCCAGCTTTATGACATGGCGCATTATCCTGCTGAAAGTAGCCATCAGAAGTTGGGTACATTGTGGTCATAAAGGGATGGACATGGTCAGCAACAATACTCAGGTAGGCTGTGGCGTTGCAACGATGCTCAATTGGTACCAAGGGGCCCAAAGAGTGCCAAGAAAATATTCCCCACACCATGACACCACCACCACCAGCCTGAACCGTTGATACAAGGCAGGATGGATCCATGCTTTCATGTTGTAGACGCCAAATTCTGACCCTACCATCCGAATGTCGCAGCAGAAATCGAGACTCATCAGACCAGGCAACGTTTTTCCAATCTTCTATTGTCCAATTTCCATGAGCTTGTGCAAATTGTAGCCTCAGTTTCCTGTTCTTAGCTGAAAGGAGTGGCACCCGGTGTGGTCTTCTGCTGCTGTAGCCCATCTGCCTCAAAGTTCCACGTACTGTGCGTTCAGAGATGCTCTTCTGCCCACTTTGGTTGTAACGGGTGGTTATTTGAGTCACTGTTGCCCTTCTATCAGCTCGAACCAGTCTGGCCATTCTCCTCTGACCTCTGGCATCAACAAGGCATTTCCGCCCACAGAACTGCCGCTCACTGGATGTTTTTTCTTTTTCGGACCATTCTCTGTAAACCCTAGAGATGGTTGTGCGTGAAAATCCCAGTAGATCAGCAGTTTCTGAAATACTCAGACCAGCCCTTCTGGCACCAACAATCATGCCACGTTCAAAGTCACTGAAATCACCTTTCTTCCCCATACTGATGCTCGGTTTGAACTGCAGGAGATTGTCTTGACCATGTCTACATGCCTAAATGCACTGAGTTGCCGCCATGTGATTGGCTGCTTAGAAATTAAGTGTTAACGAGCAGTTGAACAGGTGTACCTAATAAAGTGGCCGGTGAGTGTGAATATATATATATATATACACTATATTGCCAAAAGTATTTGCTCACCTGCCTTGACTCACATATGAGCTTAAGTGACATCCCGTTCCTAATCCATAGGGTTCAATATGACGTCGGTCCACCCTTTGCAGCTAGAACAGCTTCAACTCTTCTGGGAAGGCTGTCCACAAGGTTTAGGAGTGTGTTTATGGGAATTTTTGACCATTCTTCCAGAAGCGCATTTGTGAGGTCGCACACTGATGTTGGACGAGAAGGCCTGGCTCTCAGTCTCCGCTCTAATTCATCCCAAAGGTGTTCTATCGGGTTGAGGTCAGGACTCTGTGCAGGCCAGTCAAGTTCATCCACACCAGACTCTGTCATCCATGTCTTTATGGACCTTGCTTTGTGCACTGGTGCACAGTCATGTTGGAAGAGGAAGGGGCCAGCTCCAAACTGTTCCCACAAAGTTGGGAGCATGGAATTGTCCAAAATGTCTTGGTATGCTGAAGCATTCAGAGTTCCTTTCACTGGAACTAAGGGGCCAAGCCCAGCTCCTGAAAAACAACCCCACACCATAATCCCCCCTCCACCAAACTTTACACTTGGCACAATGCAGTCAGACAAGTACCGTTCTCCTGGCAACCGCCAAACCCAGACCCGTCCATCAGATTGCCAGATGGAGAAGCGCGATTCGTCACTCCAGAGAACGCGTCTCCACTGCTCTAGAGTCCAGTGGCGGCGTGCTTTACACCACCGCATCCGACGCTTTGCATTGCACTTGGTGATGTATGGCTTGGATGCAGCTGCTCGACCATGGAAACCCATTCCATGAAGCTCTCTGCGCACTGTTCTTGAGCTAATCTGAAGGCCACATGAAGTTTGGAGGTCTGTAGTGATTGACTCTGCAGAAAGTTGGCGACCTCTTCGCACTATGCGCGTCAGCATCCGCTGACCCCGCTCCGTCAGTTTACGTCGCCTACCACTTCGTGGCTGAGTTGCTGTCGTTCCCAAACACTTCCATTTTCTTATAATACAGCTGACAGTTGACTGTGGAATATTTAGGAGCGAGGAAATTTCACGACTGGATTTGTTGCACAGGTGGCATCCTATCACAGTTCCACGCTGGAATTCACTGAGCTCCTGAGAGCGACCCATTCTTTCACAAATGTTTGTAAAAACAGTCTGCATGCCTAGGTGCTTGAATTTATACACCTGTGGCCATGGAAGTGATTGGAACACCTGATTCCAATAATTTGGATGGGTGAGCAAATACTTTTGGCAATATAGTGTATGTATACATAAAGATATATATGCTCCAAATATATATATATAGATAGAGAGTCTGGGTTAACAGCTAGAAAGAGCCATCAGGAGCATTCAGAAGGGTCGATAACATGAGCACACTAACTTATAATCCATTAATTCCTGCTGCTCACATGATTTGATCCGGTAGTTTTCAAACTTTACCTCACATAAAGCTAGAGGTAAAAAAAAACTACCAGAGACAGAGGGAGGGTGAAATCATAGGGATATAATGAAAAAAACATACTGAACATGAAAAGAATGGGCATTTTCATAAAAGGGGGGAAAGTCTGGAACAAACTCATAGAAATAAAGAAATGTCCAGGCATGAGGCTTTAGGAAAAGGATCGAACTAGTTTCTTAAAAAAGATCTGAGATGGAAGA